GAGGCTGATTTTGCACCTCGAAGCGATGAGGTGCGAGAAAACCTTTCGGCAAGAGTTTTAGATGACGAGCGTAATTACTGTACCATCTGCAGCGGCTTTGCCGGCAGCTCGGGCGGCTGGCTGCGGCAGCAGTCGGCTGCCTGGGTACCACTTACACGCCTCCCCCAGCGCGGGAGTGGAGATGCTGATGCAAGCGACACTGCGTTTGATAAGCACTATACGTTGTTGTGTGTCTGTCCGTCTGTCCGTTACGATATTCATAGAGCTTGTGCCAGCCAACGTCATGAGTCCAAATATTGCAAGGCGCATGCTACCATGGTGAAAATCACGCCAAAGCACGAGAGGATCCATTCAGTAGAACCCTCAAAATTGCGCATCAAGCGGAACTTCATGGTCTTTGGGTATGCAGTACCACTTTTTGCGAAGTCATGGATATGTTCACAAGCGGATGTTGAAGCCATGGATTTTCACCTCAATTCAAATAAAGCTCTATTAGTTTACGAAAACGGCGAAAAGGGAACGCTTGCGTAAAAGGTAAATTTCCCAAGATTGATTTTAGATTACAAGAAAGATTTTAGTTGAGCATCTGAAAAAATCTTTGCACAGGAATGTAAATATTGTCCTTATGGCGACTACCAAGTCATAGAAAGCTCGAACTGATTCAAATTTCCAGTTATTCTTCTGCAAAATTTTCATTCACGATTACCAATCTCACACGGAAAAGCTTTTAAAATAAGTTGTCTTCAACTCATTTGTGATAGTTAGCATAGCGCGGTGAGTTTCAGTTGCGAGAATGACCAAGGCATACAAACAGTAGAACAGTGTGAGCCTCTGCAAAGCAGAGGTGACGCGTTGGTTATGTACTCAGAAGAACAATTAATTAACTTATGGGCTTCGTTTTTTGGCAGAGCGGAACAGCGAATAAATATGTAGTGGGACAGACTGTTGAGTCCCACATGGCATAACTCAAAGAGCGTCTACACAAAGTTTTGACCTTCACTTTCTGCCATTTTCGAACCATTTTCACGGCCTTGAAACGCTAAAATTCAGTCCAAATTTCAAACTGAACAATCCGAAAACCTCGTCTAGGAAACCCTATCCTGGTAAGGGCGGACGAGTATTCCAACGCCAATTTATTGCAGTGCAACGTGAAACTTGTATCACGAACAGGTAGTATCTCAACTTATATGTCCTTTCCAGCATGAAAGATTAGTGCAGCTGCGTCGCATGGCCTGGAACATAATGCGGACGCATCATTTGGAGTGGTCTGGAATTAAATACGACGTGACGTGAGAAAGTCTGCGTCACGTTTTTTGGAGCCACGCAACGCCAAAGGATGCGTTCGCACGTGGCAAGCCTGGCTGCACGCACTAATCCACTTACGTTCAGGAGAGACATATGGGTTGGGATGGAGTTCAGATGACTTACAGGTGTCACGTGAAAGTGGCACAGTGAACCTGTGAGGTCGTCTGCGCAGGTTCAGACAATCGGTGCCGTAGCTCCGGAGGACAGTCGAAATCTGGCAGAGCCGCGGCGGACCCAATTGACCGATGAGAGCGGGGCGAGGGGTCCCTTCTTGTAGGTCACGGTGACGTCACAAGCAGGTGAATGGGACCCTTCTCCGGATCTGCTCCGGAGGTACGCCAAATTTGGGAGAGCTCCGGAGCAGAGATTTGCCCGCCGCGGGTGCGCCAGATTTGGGACACCTCCGGAGCAGAAAATGGCAGGGCTCCGGAGCACAAATGGGAGGGCCCCGGAGCACAAAATGGGACACTTCCGGACAGAAAATGGCAGGGCTCCGGAGCACAAATGGGAGGTCTCCGGAGCAAGAGTGGCTGCGTATCGATTTGGCGCGTAGCCAAGCAAACGTCTGCCGTCGCCGTCAATCCCTAAGTTAGTTAAGATATATTTGCAAGACGGCATGGATCAGTGCGCCCGCCTCGCATCGGCCTGCGCCACGTTTGCGGGCGTGTCGGCTGGGCGCTTTGCCAACAAATTCGATCGATACCGCCCGCTGCATCGCAATTTTCATCCGCTTCCTTCGCAAATTTCGGGTTTTCCGCCGATTTCTTTCTCGTTTCTTCATTTGTTCACTTCACTATTTAGGTAGACCGTCCGTTACGATTCGTGGCATTGATTTGGCGAACAATCACTCAACTTATCAAATGGTGCATCTGACAGTCATCTGTCTGCCAAATGGGCGTGCTATATTTTATACTGATATTGCACTTGCCGTTCATAATGCTTCGGCATACTGAAGAATATGGAGAGAACCTATGCTGAGGTGAGATTTTTTTGTTGTTTTGATTCAATGCTGCAGAAAGCTAGGTTTTAAATGTTTTTTGAATCGAAGTGAAATTTCTGTTATAGACTGCAGACCTTTCCGTTTAGTACTCTCGGACTCTTTGTGTAACATGAAGGAAAAAGCTACGCATATGATGGAGCAGGTTGGTTTGATTGTCTGCTCTCAGAGAATGCCGAACACCGTTTCTTTTTTTGCTGGATAGCAAATGCGATGTGATTTAGAGGCAGAAGTATATCCTTTCTGCGCATGTTGAAAGGTCGGCAGAAGTCATGAAGTTATTGTGTAAATTGCATAGTCATAATTTGAGGTAATGCTCACCTTCATCATGCCATTTCTTGCGGATCAAGTGTGTTTATTGTTGTGAATCGTTAGTTTCGGAATGTGAAAAGAGGAAGGGCCGGACATGTGCTCGACTGGCGCTTTATACCAATGAGAAAAGACACTCTCTATTTAGGTATATCAGGTAGCACATTGAAAACTTTATTCAACAACGCTTGTTGTTTAGGTCTGCCATTCGAGGTGATTTGAGTTAACGAAGAAAAGGATGTGGGAAAAATGAAGGCAAAGAGAATTTAGGTATGTTGATTTATTCACCTCTCTGGTAAATATTCAGAAGGGAATTCTTTGTTTATTCATTCATTATCTTTGAAATTACGATTAGTTATGTTATCTGCTTATAACTGGTGTGTGTGTGTTTGTGTTTTTGTTTGTGTTTGTGTGTGTGTTTTGAAATTCAGAATTTTCCAGATAGACTGGCTGTTACCCTCGTCGCGTATTCTAAAACTTAGAAGCCTGCTCAGGTACAAGAAGTATGTAATATGTTGTAAGCTTTCGCAAATCTATTTAGGCCAATTCTCTGGTTGCTCTTCGCATACAACTTGGAGCGAGAAGAAAATTTCAACTTAGCGAAATCCACAAGTCTTTCATTGCTGTTGTATCTGCTTGATATCCAAGAGCTATGTTTTTCTTCACTGCCTTTATTGGTCCGCACATTATGATCTCACAATTTTTGAAGTATGCAGAGGAACTACTGTGTTGAAATTTTAGATTTTGTAAATGTATTGTCATTAGTCCTCCATCTATACCACATGATTGCAGTTTTGAGCAATTGATTTTGTTTGATTGCTCTGGTTTTGTTCTGCTTTATATGTCAGCTACTGTAACAGCTACTAATTTTGGTTGATTAGAAATAAACACCTATACAAAATCGACTCTACTTCGCACAAAATGGGAGGGCTCCGGAGCACAAATGGGAGGGCTCCGGAGCACGAGTGGCAATCCCCAGCTGGGGAAACCCCGCGGCTCGGCCATTTCTGCTCCGGAGGTATGCCGTCGACCGTCTGAGGGTGTATGGGGAGCAAGTGTTTGGCAAAATGTCGTATTTGAGGTTTTAGAAGTCGCATTTTCCTAACGGTCTTCATAATATGCTTCAGCTCAGGGAACCTACTAACTGTCACATCTGGGATTGGCCGATTTTGCATGAATGCTGCCTTTGAGGAACGGAGCAGAGGCGACCCGGGTAGCAGCTAAGCACCACCTGTGGGGTGACACGAGGGCCCAGCTTGAGATAAGGCTTGAAGGCAGTGTCCGGGCAAAAACTCGATCTTGAGATTTTTTGCTTACCCCGGCCTATTCGCTACGCTGAATCCGAAAATGCACATTGTAGAGCGCGAAAACGGCGAAAAACGGCTCTAACACGGGAGGGAAATCAGCAGGTGGGCGGGGTCCTCCCCACTGTGAATTCACGCTCCCAGCTTCCAGAGCGATCTTCTCTGTTCCAATTTCAAGTCATGCATTCGCACCTGGCCGGTGGAGATCTCAGGGCGCTAAAGGGATTGGAAAGATCGCTCCAGAAGCTGGGTCTGCGAAATTCACAGTGGGGAGGATCCCTTCCACTTGCTGCTTCCTTCCTGCGCTGGAGCCCTTTTTCGCCGTTGCGCTTTCCAGTGTGGATCTTCAGATTCAGCATGGCGAATAGGCCCGTATAAGCAGGAAATCTCAAAATCGACTTTTTGCCCGGACGCTGCCTATAAAGGCAGTGTCCAGGCAGAAAGTAAATTTTGGGATCTTGTGCTTACCCGGGCCGATTCGCCATGCTGAATCGAAAAATCTACACTGGAAAGCGAAAAAACGCCGAAAAAGGGCTCTAGGGTTAAGGGCATACCTCACGCGATTTCAGTCGCGCTGCGATTTGGCAATACTCCAATTGTGCATAACTCATCGTAAGGGCTTTCTAAATGTACGAAATATAGGGGGGTCTGCCAGTATTGAATTTGAAGGTATCTGGCAAATTGGCAGATCGCGTGGCGACTGAAATCGCGTGAGGTATGCCCTTAGCCTAAGAGTGATGGATCAAGTGGGCGGGGTCTTCCCCACTATAGATTCACGCTCTCAGCTTCCGAAACAATCTTGTCGGTTTCGGTTTCAAGTCACGCGTTCGCACTTGGCCGATAGCGATGTCAGGGCCAGAGGAATTGAGAAGATCGCTCCGGAAGCTGGGAGCATATAAATTCACCGTGAAGGAAGACTCCGCCCCTTGCTGATAATCCTCCTGCGTTAGAGCTTTTATTTGCCGTTTTCGCGCTCTCCAGTGTAGGTTTTCGGATCCAGCATAGCGAATAGGTCAGGGTAAGCACAACATCTCAAAATCGACTTTTTGCCCTGAAACTGCCTTTAAGAATGAAAAGTAACTAACTCTCTCTGGAGTATTCACACATCCTATGTGATAACCAAATTGGAAGGATCCCAAGACCACAGCGAACACAGCAAATGCAAGACTACCCGTAAGTTTCCCCTAGAAAATTGTATATGAGACAACTGAGTGACATGATGGGCATGCGGCATACCTCGACTGGCTTTGCCTTACTCTTTTCCTGAAATCGAGATAAATTATCAACACTGCACTAAGCTGAACATGCAAATATAAAACTTGATTGCTTCGCTACATCTACTGAATAAGCTGAACGAACACTGCATAACTAACACTTACTTTTTCCTTGCTCTCTTTGCTCTCCTTACTTTCTTTGCTAATAGAAGTAGGCTTACTTTTCGCCTCATCTGGACTCTGAAATGTAGATGCTATCATTTCAAGTGTGAGCTTCTGCCGTCCTTCCGTCAGTTTCTCGCCCAACAACACTTTACTTGTCGCAGGATCAACTGATTGAAGTTTACAAAAGCATTTGGAGAAATACTTTTCTGGGCATTGTCTTTTTTGTTTTCAACCTGAGTACGTACCTGAAAGCGCCAAAGCCTGATCGTACATGGGGCTACGGTTGTATAATCATTTCAGTCATTCAGCCTTGATACACCTATTGCTCTGTTATCAAATCTAACGCAATAACTCAAAGCACAAAAATCAAAAACGCGTATGAATACTAGAACACTTGCATTTGGTACGCGAAACACTGTTTCTCCTAAATCGGACAACTACAGACCGTGTCTTCGAATCGCATGGAGTGTAGCAATTATATTGACAAACCGATACTGAGTAAAATGAAATACTTCTTATGCTCCTGGTACGCTTTGGACCATTGAACCTTTCGTCGCAACTACCACGTTCCATCCTATTCTGACAACGGATGCACTTTCGAAAATTGACAACACATTTGAATGACCGATTGCCATAAAGGGATGCGATGCTCTAGCGTTTGCAAAGCTGGAATATGCCGCCTATGCCAGGCTGAGAGGACAACTCGCTTCAGAATTTTCGCTAGAGTTGCTGTGAGCTGACTGAAGTGTTCGTGACCAAGCAGTGATGAGCCCACTGTCAGAGCTATGCACGAAGTGGGCAAATGACAAGCCAAATTCATTTTGGGTAAAAAAAGCAATGGGAATATCGTTTTTGCGCGATCCGGGACGAAGCCTCGACAAGAAAAGGTGCAAGCAAAAGAGGTGAGTCAGCTTATTACCCTATTCTAATAGTTTTTTGAGAAGTGATTTACATAAGCCTCGCGCAGGAGAGTTCGCGTTCGCGCCGTCGCCGATTGCCTCACGCGCTACGTCGCTCAAGCAATGCCTTTGGTACGACATAAATGATTAGCCCTCAATGCATGCGTAACGATATGGTACCAAATGGGTGAATGAGCAAACATAGGTTAGTAGTGACAAAGTGTGAAAAATTATGAAAGTTTTTTTTGGATGGAAGTGTGAAGGCCGTTTTTCTCACAATTTCACATAACTGGTGAGTGAAGATATGATTATCAATGGCTTTTTGCGAAGCAGAGGTGACGATATGGTACACAACTTAGGTACATGGACACGGTCTGCAGAGTCGACTAAGAGTGTTATGGGAAATTCATATGAATGGTTGTGGCAAGCTGCTTTTTGAAATTTTCCGGCTATCAAAAAATTGATAAACGGATCGTTTGCTATGCACAAATGATGAGCACGAAATTTGGTTTGTGTACGCGCTGTGGGATTAAGGAACAAGGTATGAAATTTTATGAAAACTCATGTGAATATACAGCATGCATTTTTTTTTCAGATTAGGTGGGAAATTGCCACCTAATGCTCACCTGAGGTAGGCAAAACCTCCGTCTCACTAAGCTTTCAAAATTTTTACATAAATCTGTTCTACACCTAAAGTTTACTATATATATATATACATATATATATATATATATATATATATATATATATATTAGGTTGGCACGAAAGTTCTTGCGTAATTCAAACAAAATTCAATAACTTTTCAAAGACTAAACCTAAATTCACAATCTTGTAAGCTAAAAATATTAGAAGTCTTACGCTTCATGATGGATGTTTAAGCATACGATTCCGTGAGCTGGACATCAAGAACGAAGCTCTCGAATATGGGGCTTCAAATTTTGCGATTTTGAGTTTGGTGCCAGAAAATCGCAGAGTGCCGCTAACTAGCCGAAAAAAATCTGTAGAATTTACTTACACAGCAAAAGTCCATACGTTGTTTTAGCAGGCTTTGATCTCGCATGGAAACGCGAAAACAAAAAATTTGTGAAAATTCTAATTTCACAGGACAAATCTCCTTATCGCTCTAACTTTTCCACAGAAACACAGTTTGCAACCAGAAATTAGACATAGTGCCTATTTAGAGCCTTGCGACGTTTTCTCGATTGTAAAAAAGTGTTTTCGCCGGAAAACTGCGGACATGAGGGGATTTCTTCCGCAAAATGACTTATTTCACGAATTTTTTTGTTTTTGGTTCACCGTGCAAGATCAAAGCCTTCCAAAGTAACATATGGAGTTTTGTTGTACAAGTAAATTCTACAGATTTTTTTCGGCTAGCTAGCGGCATTCTGCGATTTTCTAACACCAAACTCAAAATCGCAAAATTTGAAACCCCATATTCGAGAGCTTCGTTCTTGATGTCCAGCTCACGGAATCTTATGCTTAAACATCCATCATGAAGCGTAAGACTTCTAATATTTTTAGCTTACAAGATTGTGAATTTAGGTTTAGTCTTTGAAAAGTTATTGAATTTTGTTTGAATTACGCAAAAACTTTCGTGCCAACCTAATATATATATATATATATATATATATATATATATATATATATATATTAGGTTGTCCCAAAAGTTTTGTCGGTTTTTTTCATCGCTCACCAAACCTCACAGAACACCATTCCATGAACGGCCTAGGTGTCAATCTACTCGTGTTTTTATCCTCTTTCTTATAGCTATATTTATTCCCTGATCTACCCCGTCTTTGCGATGTTATCGCTATGGCTTTTTGAGCACCCCAGCAGTAACGCCAAAACTTTCCTGAATTTTCAAAATTTTTATCTTGATATTTTCAACGAGCGCTGGCGACTGTTATGTAGGGCAAACCTTTGGCTACATTGTGGCTATTTTAGATTACATGAGCCACGTTTATCAAGTCCGTGATAATTATTTATTTGAGAAAAACCGCGGCTTTTTGAACACGTTTTACCACGTAAAATTACCGAAAATTCCAAAAAGCTGATTTTTGAAGCAAATCAAACTTGGTTATGTTGCATAAATGATGTTTAATAACAATCAAGTTTGAATTCGCAAAAACTTCAAAAACTTCCATGATTTTGCTGCAATTGCGCGTTTCATGACTTAGCCAAAAATCGAGACCTCAGAAGAAATATTTTTTTGAAGTTAAAATCAGCAAATTAGGAGAATCTAAAAATACTCTCTTGCAGCCCGAGAGTTGCTCTATTTGACCCATACTTGATCTTTTTCGAAACTTTGTAACGAAATTTTTAAAAATTAGCTCAACTTTGAGCAGGTAAAATTGACAGGTGGAGAATTTCGGCAGTTACCAAAGAAAGCATATAACATTATGGTATGAAAGTGCATCCATAAGAAAGAGAAAGAAAAGCTGCATCGAATGCATGTTGAAACTCACTCAGGTCTTTATTGTGCGTGGTTCTACAGTGGTCTGAAAAAACCGACAAAACTTTCGGGACAACCTAATATATATATATATATATATATACAGGGTGTCCCAAAAGTATGTATCGAACGTTTGATCGTTAATAACTCTCTTCCCAAGAAGTCTTTTGCCTTGCTTTAAGTACCGTTTTGTAGAGCTGGCTTCAACTTAGATTTGCACTATAGAACGAATCATTCATCTCTCTTCATTACTGTAGGAGCAGTGGTATCAACGCAGAGTACTGGTGTTAATGTGAAAAAAGCTGCCGTTTCAAAATTTTTCAAAAAATCGTGAAAACTTGTGTAATAGGGTTTTTATGGACGCTGAGTTCAATAATTAACTATTCACAAGATTACGAAGCTTTCTAAACGGTGCAATCCCACTTTTTAGGAACATTGAAAAAATGGCCGCTACTTCTTACCTGGCATAACTCTTCAATGAAGCATCATAATAAGTTGGGAACTTTACAGTTATAATCAGCAACTCTAATTAGCCTAGTGTAAAAGTTTTAAGGCTGTTTTGTTTCCTTTCTGGGGCAAAATATGGCCTTTCATTGCTTAAAACCCTCCTTGAAGTTTTCTACCGTAATCCTACAGTAATGAAGAGAAATGAGTGATTCGTTCTATACTGCAAATCTAAGTTGAAGCAGCTCTACAAAACGGTACCTGAAGCAAGGCAAAAGACTTCTTGGGAAGAGAGTTATTAACGATCAAACGTTCGATACATACTTTTGGGACACCCTGTATATATATATGTATATATAGATAATATCTATATATATATATATATATATATATATATATATAATATATATATACCAGTGCGTCACCTCTGCTTCGCAGAGGCTCGCACTGGCTCTACTATCTATGTGCCTTACTCATTCCTCGTAAAATCGTAGTACTGGAACTCACTGCGCTATGCCGACTACCACAAATAAAATGTAAACAACTACTCATTCAAAAAGTTTTTTTCACGTGAAATCGGTGATTTCGCGTGGATGAAACTTTTCGCAGGAAGAGAAACGCAAATTTGTATAGGTTTTCGAGCTTGTCATGGTTTGGTAGTCGTCATAAAGGCAATAGTCACCGTGAGATACATCTCTGTGCGAAAAATCTTCTCAAATGCTTAGTCTAGAACCTTGGCAAATTGACCATTTACGCAACCAACTCTTTTTGGGCGCCCGTTTTCGTTATGTTGTGAACTTTTGAACACTTTTCGAGCTATAGTCCATCGCTTGCACTTTTGCTTACCAAACATATCCACGACTTTGCAAAAAGTAGTGATACGGACCCAATTTTGCGGCATAGAAGCCAGATGGACCCGTTTGGCGCGCAATTTCTGAGAGATCCACTCAACGAATCTACTCGTGCTTTTGCATGTTGCGACTTTCATGAAGGTAGCATGCGCTGTGCAAAATTTGGGCTTAGAACGCTGGCTGGAACACGCTCTACGAATTTCGTAACAGACGGACGACACACACACACACACACACAAAAACACGTAAACAACCCTTAGCCCGTTATTATAAGGTCTTGATATATAGATATATATTATATATAACATTTTGGTTCCAGAACTCCTCCTCTCCTCTTTTCCTAGAAACCGAAATAGCACAAGAGCCGCGCCTTAGAGGAAGAAGACGCGCTCCAATCAAATGCCTGCTAGGTTGGTGCAATCAAGGGGT